CAGCCGCACTGCAATAGTCATCGCACGCACAGACATGCGCAGCAAGGTTATAAGGTCCCCGCACACGATGAGATTTGTGCTGAGCACGGAGCGTGACTTTCGTGCTCAGCAGGAATCTCACCGTGTGCGGGGACGAATCTCACCCTGTGAGGGGTTATGAGAGTTTTCGGTCTCGCGAGGCGGCGAGGAAAATATCTGTCGTGTTTGATAATTTTGGTCTCGCGAGGCTGAACTCACTGTTGGCGCATGTACATCGCTGTAACCGTAAGAGTGCAGCCGCCATAGGAAGGACGTCCTAGTATAATTCCAGAGTAACATATAGTGCACTGTAAAGGGCAGGCCCACTAGCAGGTACAGGAAAGACATTTTTTCGCGTGGTACGCGATGGTTGCATCCCTCAAAAATTCACATTTCGACCCCACGCATAAAATTTATCTGTGTGCTGTGACAGGCAAGCCTATACGAACACAACGTGGATACACACTGACTCTCCGCAACATGTCCCGCCGGACAATCGCACCGGACCGTATCTGGATCAAGGACAGAATCTTTTCTATATCTGTCTAATATAACCCGATGGTTTTGTGCGCAAGTCCCGCACTGTCGATCTACCGCGCTGTTATTCGGTATAGCGGTGCGGGCAGCGGCCGATCGATTTTCCTACGCGCACTGCCGTCGCTGGCTATAACACATGTATTACGTTTGTACAGCCAATTCCTCATTGGGGACTTTGATATACCCTTGCGGCATGATGCCATTCCTGTACCTTTACGATAATCGACTCAACTTTTTAGCGACGAAACACAAATAGGTCTTCTCCGGAATTTGCCACAACCTTCTTTTCATTTTTTTTGCCCAAGTAGTTCGTCTCACAGAGCAGGGAATAGCGCGTGCCAGGCGTCCTTGAGAAGTCCCTTTACTTGTATACGCGCGAGACGAAATAAAAACGAAAATAAAATATCCGACCGGTGTTTTCTTCGCATTGCAGGACCCTTGGCCACGGCTCTGACGAGTAGGTTTGGAGTGCAGAGAAGCCTCATTGCCTCGAGCCTGCTCTCTGGGTCGTGTTACGTCATCAGCAGCTACGCTCAAAACATCACAACACTCATCGTGCTGTGCGGCGCCGTGTCAGGTAAACACACCTCTTCGCCCCATCTCCATTTCCATCTCCATCTCCATCTCCATCTCCATCTCCATCTCCATCTCCATCTCCATCTCCATCTCCATCTCCATCTCCATCTCCATCTCCATCTCCATCTCCATCTCCATCTCCATCTCCATCTCCATCTCCATATCAATCTCCATCTCCATCGCCATATCAATCTCCATCTCCATCTCCATCTGTCAGGTAAACACACCTCTTCGCTCTATCTCCTTCTCCATCTCCATCTCAATCTCCATCTGTCAGGAACACACCTCTTCGCTCCACCTTAACCTACAAATGCAGTTTCTGGTAGGCACGCGCTGCATCCGATGATGTTATTTGGTCAGTTAATTATAGTTACCTGGTTAATCGGACACTAAGACGCTGATCGTGTTCGACGGTGGTGCGTCAGGTAAAATGCACCTATACGATATGATCAGGAGCGCACAAAACATTGCTTGTGTGTGTCTGCAGTTGATGTTGTCTTGATATGTTCCACATGTGGATGTACGATGGTGTATATTCATGTTTTCATATGTTGCCATGCGATGCTCCTGGTGCTAGTAAGTAGGTAACTAGGCTAACTAATAAAGGAAATAGGCTAACTTCCTCAAACGCCTCAACTTTAATTCAGCAACGTGTGGCGGCAGGATTTGAATCAGCAGTACAGAGATTATTCTTATTCTTGCTTGCTTGCTTATTCTCGTTTTGATACAGGGGCTGGCGTCGGTGTTGGCTATATGGCTGGATACGGTATAATCGGGGAATACTTCGAGAAATGGCGTGGACTGGCGTACGGCATCGCCGCGACTGGCGTCGGAATAGCACCAATGATTCTCGCACCTCTTCAGCAATACCTCATCGACTCGTACACGTGGAGAGGAGCTCTGATCATCAGTGCCGGCGTAGTGCTGAACGGCTGCGTGGTTGGAGCCATCATGAGGGACCCGCCGGTGCACCACACCCACCTGCCTGCGCACGAACAACGGCCGCCATGCTGGGACAGCCGCCTCATAAAGGACGCTCCCTTTCTTCTCCTGTGCGTCTCGAACACGCTCTGCGGCCTGGGGCTGAGCCCCGGAGTCGTGCTGTTCTACGACCACCTGGAGAATCAGGGTTTAACCCAGGACGCCGCCTCGTGGGCGTTCATGATCTGGGGAATTCTGAACGTCTGCGGACGCCTGGCGGCCGCCTTCATCATTCAGACGCAGCTGCTGCAGTTCAGCGGCGTACACGTCTACTACGTGTCGCAGACGCTCACAGGAATCTTCTCGGCGTTGCTGGGCATACCTGGCCAGTCGTACCTCTACTACAACACGATGGCGGGCTTCTACGCCTGCTGCTATGGAATGCTGATGGCCGCCTGGCCGATGACGTGTGTGGAAATGTTCGGACAGAATCGACTCATGACTGCGATGGGCTGGTTTCAGGAAAGCGCCGGCGTAGGATATATCGTCGGCGCTCCTTTAGGAGGTGTGTGTGTGTGCGTGTGCGTGTGCGTGTGCGTGTGCGTGTGCGTGTGCGTGGGCGTGGGCGTGGGCGTGGGCGTGGGCGTGTGCGTGCGCGTGCGCGTGCGCCTGTGCGTTTGTGTGTGTGCGTATGAGTGTGTGCGTGCGTGTGTACGTGCGTGCGCGCGCGTGTGTGTGTGTGTGTGTGTGTGTGTGTGTGTGTGTGCGTGCGTGCGTGCGTGCGTGCGTGCGTGCGTGCGTGTATGTGTGCGAGCGCACGCGTGTGTGTATAACCCGCGCGCGAGTGCATTATTAGTGCATCAGGTTAGACCTATTGTCATCTCACATTGTCAAAACTGAGTGCGTATGCGCAATAGCTAAGTTACACCATCATACCCGAGCCACACACACGACGTACTGTCGAACCCAATCGCTCCCAAATTGTTCTAGAATTGCTTCAAAATCGCACGTGTGCGCACACGCGGTGACACGTCGACCGATCGCTTGCGGTTGCTGGTTGCAGCGACGAGCAACTATAGATCATCGCGTTGATTTTACATAAATCAACCGAGAATGAACTTGACGCGAGTTTGCTGGAATACTTTTATACTATAGTAAGCGCAAGCAATGCATACGGGGCTTACAGCGTCTTCTGCAACGTTTTGCTCTCTAAGGTTACATCGCAGACGCATTCGGCTCTACTGCCCTTGCATACTACGGCGGAGGCTTGTGTCTTGCCGTCGGCGGACTCGTCGTAGTTCCGCTGCCATATCTGCGCAGTCACGGCGTCAAGGTCGAAGCAGCGCCAAATCATCTCGCTAATGATTACAGCAAGATAGCTCCAGGCATTGAACTAATGGTATATACCGATGGCGTAACGCGGTTACGCCAAGGACCACACCTTTGTCACGCTGTCACACCACCTGCATCCTACCTACTGCGTCCCTACATCTTATCCCTACATGCATCCTCCCGATGATTGACTTGTCGATCTGATCGTAATCCTTTCTCTTATTTGTGTATTTTTCTACCGGAGTATACGTCAACTAGTGTTATGTATCGAGTCGAGAGTGGAGATAAAACGGTTGTTAGGTATAACCAAATATATAAAAGATTATCTATGTTTGTCATGTTGGTAACGTTTTATAGCGCAACGAGCACAACCCCTGTGTTCATGTGTCCTTGGTGTATCCTGTAGTATATGGCCGCGCGATATTTATAGTATACGATACCGTATCTAAGTTTAGATGACGTCTGATATATTTTTGTCGGCCGTAAAAGTAGCGGATTTTATGACAGCGATGGATAATTTGAGTTCTAAGACACGACTTCCTGTACATATGATCATGAATCATAAATATATTTTGTGTTATATAAGGTTTATGGACTCCCGATAGTATATATACTACCAGTTCCGTTCATCGTTAATTTATGTGTTTCAGGAACAGTCCGTGGCATGCTGAGCTCTGATGCCGCCATGCCAGAGGTGTGACGGATAAACATCAGTAATTTCAAGGTCACTTTCGAAATCGACATCTATATCTAGCTACTACAAGACGCAGCCTTGTAAACAAGCATGGAATTTGCTGCCAGCTAACTCCTTAATCCCAGCTGACAGCACGGATGCACACTATTCTGTGAACGCGCGTAGAGTGAAAAGTGAAAGCGCGCAGTCGGCGCCGCTTACCGGGGAAAATTCCCTAACCCGAGACGGCGGAGATCGGGCAGAGGGTATTGTAGTAAGGGAGGGCGGGGATTGGGAATGGCAGGGGACGGGAGGGAAGGGAGTATAGTAAGAGAGGGAAGGGCAGGGAATGTGATAGTGAAAGGAACGGCAGGGGTATTGTAGTAAGGGAGGGGCGGGAATGGGGAATGGCAGGGGACGGGAGGGAAGGGAGTATAATATATATGTAATAGTGTATAGTGTATATAATATATGTGATAGTGAAAGGAGAAGGGGTGGTGTTGTAGGGGATGGAAATGGGGTGTGTCTGTTGTAGGGGAGGGGTATGGTAGGGAAGGGTCAGGTGACGAGGTGTGGTAGGGGAGGGAAGGGTCAGGCGAGGAGGTGTGGTAGGGGAGGAGCGGGGGGGGGGGATAGTGGTTGGTAGGAGAG